TCAGTGGCTGAGTCGGCACGCTCATCGGATGTGGGTTCGTAGCAAGTGGTGACGATGCAAGGTACCAGGTGAGGTTGTCCGGCCATAGGTCGCGGACTTATCGAAAGCAATTGACAGCACCTCCCTTGTTCGTCGCAGCACCTCGGCTCGACCCGATCCAGCTTGCGTGCAGCATCTCGCCACCACACTCCATCTCTTTCATGGAGCTACCGTGAGCTGCCATTTCCGAGCTATTAGTTGTCCCTGTTGATCATCGACTGGTAGCTTATACCAGATTCGTCGTCAGATCGACAGTTCGCCTATCAGCTCTATCTCTTTTCAACAGCAGCTACGCGGAGGCGGGCTCTCGTCCGTTCAATAAGCTCTGTAAATCCTCTACTTCATCTAAGGAACCAACAGCATCGAGTGATCTACGAAACGCCGGTGCTTGCCCATCAATGAGCGATTCGCTACTTCGTTCAGCGGGAGGATTCTTGATGCTTACTATTTTTCTTGACCGTCAGCGAGCAGTGTATGTAGTCGAGCCGCCGCGGGTCTATCGGTTGAGGAACGGGACATGTGTGATCAGCGAGTGTCGCAGATCCAAAGTCTCCACGGCATCGTCGATGTCGCCAAACCTGCATGGAGATCTGCATAGTCGTACATGATTGCTATACCTCACTGCGGCCTTGATGACCGTCTCCGCCGTGAGACCCTCGATCAGTCGAGGGGCATCACAGGATCCCAGCCGTTGCCGAAATATATTACTACACTTTCGCAGCACCATTGCCGTCCACTATGCCGCCTCTGCACATCCTCTGGCCCAGACCGCACTCCACGCGACTACTGTGTGTCAAGCGCTGCGCAGCATCGCCGTACTGGTGGGATCGAGTATCCGGGTTGTTTGACGGCGCGTCATCACCGATCGCATCTCGCTGAAGTCTCACGCGTTTGGCAGGGCTGTCGAACGATTCCCACCGGAGTTGATGCCGCAACGTCCTAACTACGGGCGCAAGTCGTGTAGCCCGAGCAAACGTGATCGTTGCAAGGCCCTCACACAGCGCCTGCTCGCCACCAATACTAACAACAATACCACGCAAAGCCGCACAGCCATCGTACGACGGAATCTGAACTGCCAGAACCCCGTGAAGGATGCCGGCAAAGCTCTTGTATGTCCTATCAAAGCTGCGATCCCTGAAGCCGCAGAGCCGCGTAACACAACGATCTGCTACGTGCTTCGAAGCTTGGCCGATCCCCGTGCACGATGAGTGACAGCCGCGCGGTCGATGTCGCTTCATGGACCGATGGCGAAGCGTCTAGCACTGTAGGCGCTCTGCACGAAGACAAGTCAGCTGGGAACAAGAAACGACGCCATCAAGGCAAGCAAGCCTGCCAAAAGTGCCGCCGACGCAAGATCAAAGTGATACTCACCTTGCTTCACCCTCACTGCCTGCAACACGCTGACAGCGATGCATCAGTGCGACGAAACCCGGCCAAAGTGCAAGTCCTGTGGCAAGGCTAAACTGCCCTGCCAGTATGAACTACCCGCCGGCCAGACGCGGCAGCAGGCGCTTGTCGAGAATCAGTCCAAGATTCAGCATGAGCTCGAAGCGCATGCATCCCTAATCAGCACCCTGCGCACACTGCCGACTGATGCTGCAAACGAAGTGCTGACTCGACTCCGGGAGGGGCAGTACGATGGCATCCTCGTCGGCAGACGTGAATCTCTGGATGACACCGAAGTCCAGCAAATAAGCTACCCATGGGAGTACCCCATCGACAATGCCGAAGACGATGCTTCCGGCGAGGAGGAAGAAGAAGAAGAGGCATACTCCGACAACACCGCCTCTCTTCCTCATAGCTATGCACAGCCCGTCGGCCAGAGCATGGAACTCTCCTCATCCCAGCAGAGTGGCCAGATGAGTAACATGCCTTTCACCGCCATGCCGCAGATGGACCAAAGTCTTCCCTATCCTGGATACTACGCCCCTTATATGGCTTATCAGAATCCAGCTGTGGGACAGCAGACTTTCGAAATGGGTATGCCGGGCGAGCAGCTCCAACAGGGCCAGATGAACATGTCCCAGCAGGCCACGCAGCAGTTCCATATGGGTCCACCAGTCGAGGAGAATCGCAGTCTGACTGATCAGCGTCCGAAGAGGGCTCCTCATCGCTGAAGATTTGCAATAGTCTGTCAATTTGGCGTTTCGATGTTAAAAAGGTCGTCAGACACTCGTACTCAGCATTGGAACCCCGATGAAGGTATCACTCCAACATTGGAAGTGGCCTGTACTCCAGAATGGAAAGTACCCTCATTTCATGGGTATGTACGACGCAGGCAGGTCGCTATCGGTGCTTCTGGCGGGGATGCATCGCATCATCGAGCGATCAGAATGCAACTAGGTCAGTTTGTGAGCTCTTTACTTGCACGACCAGTGAAAGTTTGCCTCCACGCCAACCTGGGGAAGGTACGCTGGTCTAGCGGGAGTGGTAGAGATGCCGAGAGCTGAAGCTTGAGAACGAATGGCGTTGTCAGGCACAGATACTCTACCTGATAGGGCTGGCTTGAGCGCGAGGGCGCTTGTTGTGGGTGGACAAGTAATGGTCAGTACACATGAATGACAGAGTCCATCAAGAAGGGCGTTCAATGAGAGGTCGTCCTCCTCGTCGCCTACACGACTAAGCGGCTCAGCCCTACAAATCAGCGATCCAGACTCCCTTTGATACCCAACCCTAGTTCGCCGTCACGCGTGCATGCATGCTTTCCCGCACTCACCATCGTATTCTCCACAGTGTCCGTGAGATTAGCGTCGCTTCAAGTCTCTCCGTGGCGGTGCCCCATGGTTCGAGGAGCCCAGACGTAGCGAGCCTGACGCCGAATCGACTCAATGCATCTCACGCGGACCAAATACGCTCTTCAACCGCTACAACGAAGGAGGTAGCGAGGCCTTCTATATCATCTCGAGTACGATTGCTCCTTGGGTGTCGACTCATCAGACTTTGTTCGATCGAGGAATGCTTGAGATTCCGGGAAAAGCCCTTGAACCATACCTGGGATCCGTGAGAGGCCCCGACACCTATGAGAAGTAGTAGTCTTCGGCTCGTGGTGTCGGCATACCCTCGCTGTCGCCATGAGTGTCGTGATCAGTTCTGGCAGTCATGGAGCAACACTGGAGGCTTCACGGCCGTCCTGTTCACATCCAGTGCCGCAAAGCGCACACACTGTTGACACCTGGTTGATCGCGAGTACTGACTTACAGCCTCCGGTCTATGCCAGCAGCGCCATGAGCTCGATCCTTACTGCAAAGAGTTGCCTTGAAGCGATCGCGCCATGCATATACCTCCTGAGACGAGTCCGTCGAATGCGGTGACAACCATACCGCAAGGAAGACGCTTCATGAGAGGGTCTCAACGGTAACATACTACAAGCTTACTGGGAAGAAGAAGAGGGTGCACACTTGGTTGAGAAGAGAAGAGCGATCGAGATCATAGCAACGCTCATCGAGATCTCCGCCTAAAAAATGCGGATGAGCTTCATGCAGGGCGGCTTGAGCGACGATCGTACACCATACCTTGTGAAGCAGAGCTACACGCGAACATTTGCTTTGGATCTTGCTGGCCTCTACCATTGCACCGAACGCCATCAGCCGTGTCGGCCCGCTGCGAGTACCTCTGCGAGACATTTTGGTGGCCACTTCTGGAGTATGTCACACAAGGTACAAACGGATAGGGCTCAAGTACCCTGCTCGAGCGCCGCCTTGCGAAAGTACTGTTATGAGATGGAAAGACACCAGTCCTCATCGTCACTAGACCAGACGGCGGACGAAGAAAATGGGCTAGCTATGCCTTTACGCCGGCCAGTCCCTATCCTGCGAACCTTGTAAATGGAACTCGGGACACTTCCTGCGAGTAGCGTTCTATTGATCAGCGCTACATGAGCACGAAGAAGTCCCTAAGGTGCTGTCACATCAGAGTCGTTTCCCGGACGCATGACCATGTCGACAGTTCCCACTGGTCACAGAGTCGCCGCTCTTCCCGGGCCCTGAACCAGCCAGGACGATGTATCCAGCACGAAGCTAGTGAGGGTAGTCCTTCAAGTAGCGGCTCTTGCGACGCAGACTGGTGAACCAGCCTACGCTGAGTACGCTATCTGCACGACATAAAGTAGCTCATCTGCGTCGGAACGAGCGCTCGTTGCTGCTGCCGCACTGGGTAACCGAGCCGTCGATGTACCTTCTGAGCAAGCGTGCCGACTGGACTTGCCAAACAACTCAGCGCCTCTGTCGCCTTCGGCACTGACCGACTGACCACGGATCTTGGCAAGACTTCATGGCTCGTCGATGATGGCGGTGGTCTCCAGCCTGCAGAAGCGAGACCCTGCTTTCGGTCAGGGGGTTTCCGCTCGAGTCGCCCAAAGTCGTCTAAGGCGCTATAGTAAGTGAAGGCTACTATTGTGACACAAATGTTCGGTGATGCCCACTCATCGACCAGCTGTTCGAAATCATGGCGATCGGGTCCCGGCTCGTAGAGATCCTCGAAGCTGTGAAAAGTGTCGAATGAGCCGCCGTGCTCAGATGTGAATCTGGAACAGCCATCATCAAGATCTCCCGGCTGTGGACACCAGCGCAGATTGGTTGGTAATCAAGACCGATGCAGCATGCCGTGGAGAGGCCTCGTTACCAAGACCAAACATCCTAGCCTGCAGAACCAACAGCGCGCGAGTGTAGCCCGTTGAATCGATGTGTGAATGCACAAGAAGCACGGCTAAACAGACAGCTGACTGCCAAATTACGTTGTAGATACAATGTCGACAGTACTATTGCATCCTACATAAGTGCCCGAAGTGGTCGTGGAGCTGAGGCGTGCTTGGTGTGCGTGTGAAACGTGACCTTGACAGACATACGGACCCTGGAACTCGTCTCGAAGGTCAGAACAGACGCTCCGATTCCTCGATTTCTGCCTAGTTGCGTCCTCCATACTTTTTAGGAATCTATACGAGTTCTCGATTGTCGTTCAGTCTCGGGCAGATGGCCGAGTGGTTAAGGCGCTAGCTTTAGGTCATCATGTGACTCGCTAGTTCGAAAGAGCGTGGGTTCGAACCCCACTCTGCTCATTTGTCGTTCTGCTGCTCGAGGCAGAGCCCATTGTACTCGGTGACCTTTTTGCCGCTGTAAGCAAGCTGTGCCGGTGGCATACGCGAGACAAGTAGTATATGGTAGGACACATAAGTAGATCAATCTTCTATTCTGCGACCCTCCACCCCGTCAGAACAACCCCACCGCTTCGAACAGCAATGGATTCCCTTCGATCGCCAGCCATGCAATGCCCGCGTACACGACCAGCTTCGTTATGACCTCGACATCATACCTTATTCGCGGTTTGTCGAGTGCAGAGAACATGTTCCTGTCCTCTTGCTCATCCTCTTTGCCGCTGTCGCTCGACGCTCCTGCGTCACTCAGCGGAGGTGTCAGGAGATTGATATCCGCTGGCTTTACATGCAAAGACCGCTGCGTGCGTGGTGGTCTGATTGCGTCTAGGTAGTCGATCGCTTCATCAGAGGACGGCGATGCCAGGACATCGTCGATTGTAGACTGCTGCGGCCGCACAGAAGGTTTCGAACGTGTACGTCTGCGTGTAACATCTTCGCCAGAGCGACTGTTCCTTCGCTGCTGTGCTCGATTTGCGATGAACTCCCGTACATCTGCTTCAGACTGCGGGCCAATGGAGATGGTCCTTTTCCTTGTCTTGGACAGCATCGAAGGAATCTCGGAGGCTGGTGGAATGACGTTGTCGTCTTTGCGTAATGCTGGGACGCTTTGGTAGTATCTGCAAACTGTTAGTCACGCGTTGTGTTCTCTGCAGATACGCTGCCCGGTCCACGAGACTCACCGGGCTTGCAAGAAGTATCTACGAGGCAGTCGAAAACCCCAGTGGTCTACGAAACGGAAGATGGGAGGTAGACACCGCAGCAGTGTCGGCTTCGCGATCGCACGCCATAGAAATACTATGACGATTCCGATGATGATTCGTGCGAGCATCTTGAGATAGTCCTCCGGGCTCTTCAATGAGGTCACTCCTTCCTCTGCCATCATACTTCGTGTTGGAAAGTCCCACCATGCGATGGACCCTCCCATAACGACGCCAGTGAACGCAACACTGTCGTCGAAGCACGGGCAGTTGTCCGCAGGCTCGGGGTGAAAGCGCACGGCGAGTCCCAGGATCAGCATAGCAATCCCTAAATTCAGCCAACCTCCAGTCACAATCCAAGTATCAAAGGCTGGACCGAAGGCTATGCGGACCCACGCTATGAAGCCGCCCAGAAGACTTCCAAAGATGACATCGAAGAAGCCGTGCATGCCACAGTACATGCGGCCAATGCTTATCGAGATAGCGTAGCAGTACAGTCCGCCAGCTAGCGCGTAGTAGATCGCAGGCGACATGTCCAGCGAGGCCGTGTGCAGCTTGAACAGTAGATATACAGCCACTGAGACAGCATTCGTAGTATGCGTTGATGGGAAGCCATACTCCAGCGCGGCAGATCCAGACATCGTGATTCTTTGCAATGGTGGTGACAGTGGTCGAGGGAGACAGAGCATATCCTTCACATAACCACTCAGATACACGCCCGCGGCCAACATGTGCACCATGGCGATCCCAGATTCACGATAGCCGCACCAGAAGCATACGGGTAAGCCAGCCATGAAGAAGGTATGCGTGCCTAGATTGGCTGTCATCGCGAAGTAGGAGTCCAATACTGGCGAGCGGCATGTTTCCTGGAAACGCGCCAAGTACGGCGTCTCAAGACGAACGATTGGGATGAGTTGCTGACGCAGACGATATCGCCATCTTGGTAGGCGGTTCTGGTAGTGGTCGATGCCTTTGAGTCCAGCATCTGGGTCCTTGAATGGGGACGGCGTTCTTGACCAAGCGCGGTCAGGTACATTGTCTGCCATTGGCTTATCGGATTCTTCAGGAGCTCTGTGGAGATGATCCTGAGTAGCCATATCTGCCGACACCCAAGGTTCAAGAGCGTGTCTTGGCCTCACGGCCTCATAGCTCGCAGCGTAGCTAACTCATGTAAGATCGCCATTATCAACAGGCGATGTTTGAATTGCCCATGTGAGGATCGGGCACGACTCCGCCATGTGGTGGTTGCATGGATTGCCGCGTGGGGTGAACAGGTTGGCCTTGGCGGACAGACTTCTGCAGTCCGATGAGAGTCACTTTACCTGACTCTACGAATGCCGGCACGACACACGATAGAGCACAGCGAATTTACGATCCGAAGCACATCGAGTTCCCAATCCTCACTATGGCGGACGCCGATGAAGCGGAAATGCCCCGAGGCAATGTCATCGAAGAAGATGTCGACCTTTCCGATGAAGCTCAAGACTTTCGTTTCCTGTCTGCACTTTCGTAAGTCTTTCCAGTAAAAAGATCAAAGGATCCAATGACTGATCTTTGTCCAGCTCCCAAGATGCCAAAATTCCCAAGCGCGGCGAAAAGGACTTCGAACCGCACGCCACCTCACTGCAATCGAACACCCTCGCCGCATCCCGTCAAGCGATGCACAATGCCCTAGCCTTCCAACGAAGTCACGCCCCAAAGACTCACACTCTCGCCACGTTCCATCCTAAATCAAATATGGCCTACTGTTACGCTCCTCGGGGTCCGCTCTTCGCTCGCATGGGCTCCACCTTCAGTGCTGCCGATGACCCTCTTGGAAATGACGAACGTCGGGGCCAACGACTGTGGTTATTGCCTGAGGAAGTGCTGTATTTACTTGAGCGTGGTACTGTGGATGTGCGGTGGCCGTCCGAAGTAGACTATGAGGAAGGCTTGCCGATGAGTCTGCAAGCTGGGTATGCGATGTTCATTGGCGGCAGTGGTGGTCTGACGTTCGAGCGGTTCTCGGTGTACTCTGCGCTTAAGAGGCAAGGGTACACTGTGCTGCGGGCGCCAACCTGGGACGGACCTGGACCACCGGCTGGGGCTGAGGATCGAACTCCTTCTTCTGCGCAACAAGGATTGTTTGAACTGGGCCTGAGTAGGTGGTGGCGAACCCTATTCTGGACGGCACAGGAAGAAAGTACCGACTACGGCGAGCCCTTACTACAGCCAGGACTTTATCGCAACTATTCGGAGATCTATCGCCGGCTCGCCCTCGTTCCCTTCCACGATACACCAGCGATAACCCCCAACATTGCCCCCTCTGCCACCGACCCTGCCTTCCGCATCACCTACCACCTCTATAAACCCGGCAACACGACCTTCAAAAAGACCCTGCCCGGTCCACCAGACTTCCGCGTCGCGGTGATCGACGGTCGCGAAACGTTGATGCCTACACTCTCTCAACTCTCAGCATTGCTCGACACGACACCCTACGACCCACCGAAGGACGCACAGCAGCTATACCCCAAGCTGAAACAAGGGTACAGGAACGTCATCCTCGCAGTCGTGGATCAAGGCGTCACGAGCTATATGAGAGTGAGTGATGCGGTATTCGGGCGGGAGAAGCTGTACGATCGTGCAGTGTCGGGGAGAGGAGGAAAAGGAGGCAGAGGTGGGAGGGGAGGTGGTAGAGGCGGGAGAGGGAGAGGTAAGTGAGAGCGATCTAGGTTGATGCCTCAGCTATTGCTTTACGTCTTTCGGCGTTAGCCTCGAAGCTTCTACGCTACTCGATATTCCAAGTGCCACGAAGACAAAGGCTCTGCTCAGCCCAACGTAGCAGTGACTACGGACCACCCAACAGGACCTTCAGCAAAAACCTTCAGTGACCACCACGCCCTCCCCTCCCTCTGCCTCTCGATCGTCCACCTCCGCCACCTCTACCTCGCCCTCTTCCGCGATCGAAACCACCTCGACCGCCTCTACCCCTGCCACCCTCGAATCCATCGGCTCGCGCATCTGGTCTCGGCCCAGCTAAAAGCCTCCCTGCTCTTTCCTCCTCGTCGATGTCGAATGGATTTCCAATACCCAGCATGCTACAAAACGTGCTAGTCTGCGGGTTCGTGTACTCCCTCAACCCACCCGCAGCCTGACCGTACTTCGGCAGCCGGAAGTCGCCACCGTCGTAGACTGGAGCGCTGATAGTGAAGTTGTCTGGAACGGTGAAGTCGGAGATATTCGCATCGACCCAGTCTCGTGACTGGTCAACCAGAGCGGCGTAATCGGTCTCCGACTTCGCTTGAGGCGCGTTGAATTTGGGATCACCGAGGATCAAGGGTTCGGAGAGAGCGAAGGCGCGGGTGATGGAAAGCCATTCAGGATCGTACTCAAGGCGGAGCGGGCGCCGCGTGTCAAGGTCTGCAATCGAGGCCGGGATGGACATGAGCTGGAGGAAGTCGCGATTCGGAAGGCACTTGTCGAGGGCTAGAAAGTGTGTTGTGGTATTGGTGATGTCTGGCGGGTGTGAGGAAGTCGATTGAGCGCTATTCGGAGGCTTGTGGAAGGAGGCTGGTAGAGCGGCGCGAGCTGCTGCGAGGTCTGGTGCAGTATGTAGAGGCGCTGTGGCCGTAGATTTAGAGCCGTCAAGCTGGACCTGCACGCCGTCGAGACCTTGTCCAGGCGCCACGGGTGCTACCCCGGCGTTATCTTCGTCCTCGAGCTCGAGATCAATTTCGTCGGGATTGACTGACTTGACGACAGCTGCATCATTGATAGCGGATGCCTCATCATCGTCATCGTCTAGGTCCAGCTCGATCTCCTCCGCGTTCTTCGGCCCAGGTGCAAAAGGCACACTGGGCAGGGATGATGAAGTCGCCGCGGAGCCATTCGTTACTCCAGCTCCGTTGCTCTGTTCCCCGTATTTCACCACTCCAGCGAACTTGCAATGTAAATGTGCACTAAACCACCACCTCGGCCGCAACCTCTCCATGACCAACTTCGCAGCCACGCTTCCGAGCTGCCCACTTCTTGCGTCCTCTTCGAAGTGCCCTTTTCTCCGAAACAGCTTCGCCCAATCTCCCTTCCACTCCACCCCTCTTGGCCAGTCGTGACTGATCCCCACATCGACCTGCGTCCGGATCTGCAACAGCTTCCTCACGTCTAGCTCTCGGACATGATAGATGCTCTTCGTCTCACTCTCGTTATACGGCAGTCGCTCATAGTGTA